AAGAGAATGTTCTCTGTCTGCATCCCACCCAGGTGAAAGTGCCATGTCTCTGTTCCACCCAAGAGGACATTCTGACTCCATCCCACCAAGGTGGAAGTCCCATGTCTCCATCCCACCCAGAACATCACGTGTCTCTGTTCCACCCAAAAAGACATTGACTCCATCCCACCAAGGTGGAAGTCCCATGTCTCTGATCCTTCCAGGAGAACTCTGTCTCCATCTCACCCAGAAGGAAGTCCCATGTCTCTGTTGCACCCAGCAGGATGATTTCTCTGTCTCCATCCCACCAAAGGAGGACGTCTCATGTCTCTGTTCCACCCAAAATGTTCTCTGTCCGCATCCCACCCAGGAGAACATCACATGTTCCACCTGAGAGGACATTCTGATTCCATCCCATCAAGGAGGAAGTCCCATGTCTCTGTTCCTTCCAGGACTCCCCTGTCTCCATTTCACCCAGAAGGAAGTCCCATGTCTCTGTTCCATCCAGGACGACGTCCTGTCTCCATCCCACAGAGGAAGTCCCATGTCTGATTTGCACCCAAGAGAACATCCCATGGCTCTGTTCCACCCAAAAAACATTCTATATCTCTGTTTTGCACCAAAGAAAACATTCTCTGTCTGCATCCCACGCAGGAGAACATCCAGTGTCTCTGTTTTGCACTCAAAAGGACATTCTGTCTCCATCCCACGCAGAAGAAGGTCCCATGTCTCCATCCCAGCAAGGAGGAAGTTCCATGTCTCTGTTCCACCAAAGAAGACATCCCCTGTCTCCATCCAAACCAGAAGGTGGTGGGGGAATACATATTTCCTTATTATTGGTTCATCAATATCCAAGAATAAATCCAAAACCTGGTTAGCAGCTATGAAAGAACCCAATGATGGTTTTACCTTAACTGAGCTAGTGCTTTAAGAAGAGCATTATAAACTGACAAAATGACCAGGCCCGGGCCTCTAAGAATGTATGCCATCTTCCTTAAAAAGGTAATGTTACTATTGGTCAAATGCTACTAACTACTCCTGTATATACGAACATCCAACACTTGGAATAGTCCAGACAGAACTACGATATGCACGGGTCTGTCTCTGTGGAAGAGCAGCTATACTCTACCTGTGGCTGGATTTATAGATTCTTTTGATATTAGATTTGTACTTCCATCACTTTATCTATCATTGATTAAATGTTATACCTACAAGCGTTTGTGTGATCTCTGCATATCTAAAAAAAAAAAAAAAAAAGTATCACGCAACAGTGATAAAAAAACAGGACAACCTCTTTCCCACACAGGAGAAAGTACTGTCGTTTTCTCAAGGATGGCTTCCATCTCTCTCCCCCCACCCAGGAGGACATTCACCATCTCTCTCCCCCCACCCAGGAGGACATTCACCATCTCTCTCCCCCCCACCCAGGAGGACATTCACCATCTCTCTCCCCCCCAGGAGGACATTCACCATCTCTCTCCCCCCCAGGAGGACATTCACCATCTCCTTCCCACCCAGGAGGACATCCGCCATCTTCACCCCCCAGGAGGTGATCCACAGTCTCATTTCCCACCCAGAACAACATTTCCCTTCCCCCCCAGAGAACAAATGCTATTTCCCCCCCTCCCAAAGGGACAGCATCTGTCTCCTTTACACAGAGGAAATCCACTATATACCCCTCCCCCAAGAGAACTTCTGTTGCCCTTCCACGCAGGAGGAAGTCTTACCGTGTCTCCGTCCTACCCAGGAGGACATCCACCATCTCCCTCCCACCTAAGAGGACATCCACCATCTCCCCTTCACCCTGGAGGAGGTCCTGCAATTCCATCCCACCCAGGAGGAAGTCTTCCTGTCTTCCCCCACCTAAGAAGACTGCCTCCACCTCCCTTCCACCCAGGAGGAAGTCTTGTGTCTGTCTCCCTCCCACCTAAGAGGACAGCCTCCATCTCCCCCTCATCATGGAAGACATCTGCTATCCCTACCCCCCCCCACCCCCCCCCCCCCCCCCCCCCCCCCCCCCTTCAACCTGAGAGGACAGCCCCATCTCCCTTCCACCCCGGAGGAAGTCCTGTGTTTTCACCCCACCCAGCTTTTGGATATTTTTTCTTTATAGAATACAGTTTAGTTGGATTAAACAAATTAATATGTATGTCACCAACATTAGGCATTTATTTTTTGCTTTTGTAAAGTGGAATTTGGGTTAAATCATACATTTCCGGCTAGATTCACACCTTTGTACTTGTTTGCCTGGATGCATCTTCTGCCGCAAAACACACAGGAAATTCAAAAGAACGCTGTACTGGTCCAAGCTCTGCATGCAATCCTCTGGCCCATAATTAATCCATGTGCTGGCTCCTAGGAATTCCTCTCACTCAGGAATAATAATGAAGCCACATTGTCATGTCACACTATGAGGTTAAGGAAAAAACCTGCTGGCCAGACCACACCCTAAGCCACACCCCTCCAAACCCTTAGAGAAAAACAAGCTGCCCATTGAACTCCTTGCAAAAATGCTAGATGCCTGGCATCAGTTCTTTTAGATATGATTTACGAACGGCAAATATTCATTTTGCAAGGGAATTTTCCCCCAAAAATAGCAATGTGGTGAACTTTCACTTTGCAAAGGAAAAAAGCATTTTTGTTTTGCACTTGATTAGATGGCAGTCACCTCATTCACCGAGAATTCAGGAAATTCCCCTGCAATGTGCACATACCTTACAAAGTGAAACGTCTATTTGCCTTTAGAAGCAAAAATAATGTAAAGCTTCCCAGTGCCACCCTAGAAGTATAAATGCGATTTGCCTTTAGAAAATTAATCCCAATGTCTCGAAAAAGATGAACAAGGACATTAAGAATCAGCATGACAGCCAAGCAATCAGCAGTTGATTGGTCAGTCATTAAAAGCAGAGTTCCACTCACACTGTTAAGAAAAAAAAAAAAAAAATATAAATATAAATATATATATATATATATATATATATATATATATATATATATATATATATATATATATATATATATATATATATATATATATATATATATATATATATATATATATATATATATATATATATATAAATAAAAGTCAGCAGCTCCAAAAACTGTAGCTGCTGACTTTTAAAAAAAAAAAAACAGCCACTTACCCGTCCCACGGGCCTGTGGTGTGTCCCCCGCACCCCGTTTCACCAACCGGCCTGTATTCCAGGCGCCGGTATCTTCAGTGTGGGCACCCGGCTGTGACAGCTTTCAGATTTATAGCCAGGTGCCCACCGCGCATGTGCGAGAAGCGCTGCGCTTCATGAATGGCCCGGTAGTCTTCTGGGACACGTTTTCCTAGGCGATCGCAGTGGAGTTGGGAGCGGGTACCTGTCAATTTCGGGTACCTGCTCCTCAAAGGTGCCAATCCTTAATGGGGAGCGGGGGACCAGTCTTTAAAGCGGAACTTCCTTTTTTGGGTGAAACTCTGCTTTAATAGCAGCCGGATGTCTCTAAAAAGTTTTATAAAGTAAATCTACAGCTTATTTTTTTTTTTTAGCCTGTCAGGCTAAAGCTCCAGCTCCCCATGAAAGGTAAAAACACAAATGCTTACCCCTCTAACAGACCGCTCATTAGGGAGAAATCTGGTACAATCTGCAGGGAAACCAACCCTTCCAGAATTTCCATTTCCTGGGAATATCTCTATCTATATCATAGTCACTTGCTTCAAAATTTTTTTATTTTTTTATTTTTACATCTTAATTACTTCTTGATTTCCATGCCTAGGCAAATGTCATACATCCCAGGAGTCTTCAGGAGTGTTTTCAGCACAGCCAACGCCTGAGATAAGGGTAGCTGGATTCCAGGAAGCCATTGCCAGAAATGCCAGGGATTTTAAAAATTATTTCTCAGCAAAATAAAGCATGGAGAAATGGATGGAGTTTTCTTTGAACATTAAAATGAATTAAATAGCATTTTTGGTTTGTGGTGCTTAGATGCAGTGCAGATCCACTTGAACTGCAGTAGAGAAAAAAAAAAAAAAGCAGGACTTCTTCCCTGCCAGACAGGGCTGTAATGTGGCAAAGCTGTGTGAATCTCAGGACTGGATGGGCAAAAATAAATCTGGACAAGTTAATAGAAAGCATTCCAGTACAGTTTTCCCACCTGCAAATCAGCAATGCTACATATTACTCAAAGAATCTCTGTAGTGCTGCAATGTAACACCCTGCCAAACAGCAGCTTTTCTCACAGGGACGTCATGCAGCAGCACTGCTAGCGCTACGGATTACCAGGTCCTCACCGGAGATGCTGGACAGCCCTGATCACAGAACTCAGTCATACTGGAAAATAAAGCCCATTTCTTTATAGTTTTCTCCAAAAGTAATAATCCACAATTTCTGCTTTAGTTTAAAACTTTATTTTTTGTTTTTGGCTTTTTTAAGTTTTTTTTCAAAGTTTTTTTTCAGTTATTTTTTTTTAAATAGTTTATTCAATAAAAAGTAAAAGTAGTCCATCACTCCGTTCAAGTTATAGAAGGAAAGGGTTATGGAAGGAGAAGGGGTGGGAGATGAAAGTGGACTCTGCCTTGAAATCTGCCCAAATCTATTTATAAATAAAAAAATAAAATCTTGGTTTCTGTTCCAATCTCTGAGAGAGGACTTGCTCCTCCCCTGCAGAGCAGACCAAAAGAAAAAAAAAAACAAAAACCTAAAAACACACATTCTCCTTTTATGGTGCCGGTAGGGGGACACCCTGCCTCCAGCTGTAAGCTCCACCCCCAAGAGAGTCTTCCACATGGCTGCACGGCTCCCTTGCGTCTCGGACAACCCTGGCAGGGCGTGAGTGAAAAGGTCCCATGATGCTGCGCCCGTGGAAGCCCTCAGATCCATTGGCTCAGGAAGTCTGCGTGGGGCCTAGCGGGGGTCCCCGGATTCTGCCTCAGCCAGTTTTTCCTGGACGGTGTGGACAGGGGAAAGGCCAGAGGCAGGACTGGCTGCGGGTTATGACTGTGTGGAGGTTGGAATCACAGTTCTGGGATAAGCTCAATTGCCGGGAGGGTGGAACGGGAGCTGCTGGGACGGATGGGACTGAACTGAAAACAAGGAAAAAACAGAAGTGTTAAAAATCAAAAACCACACATTAAAATATCAAAGAATAACAAATGTTTAAAAGATTTCCACCTCCCACAGCATCACAAAATGCACTGTTTAAGGACCACCAAGACCTCCTGCTCACTGGTGGATACATTTATGCAGAATCTTACTAGAGGCAAGATACTGCGTACAAATCGTTCTGTGGGGCATCATTCACACAGACATACAAACACCCGAGGTGTATGGTGTACAGTCATGCATTCAAAACGTCTGAAGGCCGAGATTATTCTGCATCTGCACTACCCTACATACTGCTTATGTTTACATCTCCCCCAGCCCCGACTAGGAGGTACACATGGCCATGTCTGTTTATGCATTGTGCATTTAAAATTTGCACTGCATAATATATAAAAAAAAAAAAAAAAAAAAAAAAAAAAAAAAAAAAAAAAAAAAAGGATTCTCCCAATTTTGGGAGAATATGGACCAAAACAATAAAAAAAAAACCCAGTTGTAAACAGGCTCATAGCATAACTGGTGCGTTCAGACGGCTATAAAACAGCGTTCACTATGTATCATATTATGAGCATTATATATACACACCAGGTAAGCATGAGCCCTAAAACTCCTACATGGAAGGAGGGGCAGAGAACAGAATTGGTGCTCGAGTTGGCCATAGACTAAATGAAATTTAGCCAGCTCAGCAGGGACAGACCAAATCTCATTCAAAATGTGGCCACTGCCTCTCAACAGAAGTTGATCTAATGATAGATCTCTGCTGAACAGGCTTGTTGGAAAATTTCTCGATCATCATCTGCAGCCATGGGAAGGATTCCTCCTTCAACTGTGTGGATGGCGGAATCCATGAAGAAGGCTGAAATGCATCAATTGCTGTACTAAGAATTTTCGTAATGAAGAATAAATGGAAGACTTTTTAAGAGCAATGCATGGAGTTGTAGACCATTTCCTTGTAGGATTATGCTTGCAGCTGTGTGACTGGATCATGCATCTGTCAGCTTAGCAGGATTCTTGTGAATCATTGGGTTGTAGCACCAAACCTGATCTACGGGACATATTCAGCCTGCCAGCTGGCTGCACGAAAAACTATGATCCATCCATGGCCAGCTTGCAACGTACTGTAGACCACAGCTAGGGTGTGAGTTTCATGGAAACCTAAGAGTTCCAACTTTACCCATTCAAGGCAAGGTGGCAGTCTATTGGAAGAACAACCCCACTCCCACTTTCACTGCATCTCCCACTACTTCACTCCTACACAGCAGTGGGAGTTCAAACATAAGCGTTCAGGCCACGTCATTATCTGCTCAGGCCCGAGCACTGCTTTCTAGGTCACATTGTCACAAACATGAGAAAGTAGCATCATTTCCCACAAGTGCCAAAACTAGTGGGTAGGTAGACGGTAGGTGGTTAGTAAACATAAGTGGGTGAGAGGTTGCCCTTTCAAGAAACCACAGACAGACTCTTTGCAAAGTGGAAAGCTTGCCCGCAGGACACTGCCAAGCGCTGCTTGTTAGTGCTGGAAGTGCATTGCGACAAAGCTGTAATCAAGATTTACAAACTGGGGTCCCAATCACATAAATGTGACAACCACACAATTGGAAAAGCCCAGGAAACACCCCAGGAAAAAAAGTACCTTCTCTTAAAGGAGACTAAAAGGGTTTAAAGGGGCTCAGACCCAAACACTGAAAGCTAAGATCAGCGTGGAAATTATTATTATTTTTATAACATGCCAAAGGATAATCAATTCTGTACAGTCACACTTAATTGACACACAACTGCCACACTACACATCCAGGAAGATCATCTTCATGATCACCCCTTCAGAAAAAATTTAAAGTGGAGCTCCAGGCTTCCCCCCAAAAAATGAAAAGTCAGCATCTATAAAACACTGTAGCTGCTGACTTTTAATAGGACACTTACCTGTCCAGGGATCCAGCAATGTCCTCACCCAAACCGATTCTTCAATTGGCTTCGGGTGTAGGCAGCGGCATCTTTAGTAAGGGAAACTGGAAGTGAAGCCTTGCTGCTTCACAGCTGGTTTCCTACTGTGCATGCATGAAGCACATTTGCTTTTCAAACGGCCCTGCAGTCTTCTGGGACCTGTGAGGTGTCCTTGAAGGCAGCGGGGGAAGGGGCAAGGCCAAACTTCCATCTTATCACCATGATGCATCTGACCAGAAGTGGGAGCGAGTGCCTGTCAAAACCAGGTACACCCCTCCAAGGTGCCAAATGTGGCAATGGAAGGGGGGGGAGGGATTGTGGTGAGAGTGGAATATTGGGGGAGGCAAACAAGCGGAACTTCCCCTTTTGGGTTAAGTTGTTTTAACAGCAAAGGTGGCAACTAGCTAGTAAATAGAAATTGACTGCCTGAACAGAAACAAATGCCCTTGGCGGCTAATGCAGTAAATGTTTGTATTATGCGTAATATTTTACATTTTGAGAGTCTGCCTTTATGCTAAAGTGCAGGACATTAGGGAAAACATTAATATGACGACACAAAAGCAAGAAACGTGTCCCATAAATGGCACTCACCTTGATGGTGTGGGATATAAGTGTATGGAGACGGTGTGGACACCCCTGTCTGTTGGACGGTGGCCTGTGGGGGAGCAGCATGTGTTTGTGAGGGGTGTAGAAGCATGACTTGTGTAGGATGAGGAGCACCAGGGTGTGGTGGGTGAGGGGCACCAGGGTGTGGAGGAGGGGCTCCAGCTATTCCAGTCTGTACATGAGCCTTAAAAAAAAAAAAAATCAAGGTTTCATTAACAAAGCCAATGCAGGAAAGGAAGATCCATTTTTGTGACAGTAAGAGCTTACCTGTGCCACATGAGACATGTTGGTGAAGCTATGCTGAAGCTGTTGATGGGCGTGGATTGCATACACGGCCTGCTGGGTGTAGCTACTCTGCGGAGACTGGGCGGTGGGTCCAGGTGTCAGAGAGGGTGGGGTCGCTGTCAGGGCTGCTGTGTGATAGAGATTTTGCTGGGGTTGAGCACTACCTAGATGAGGGGGCTGGCCAGCCTGGTGCTGGAGAGAAGAGGACACACTGATCAAACCACTGTACGGCATTCAATCCATAAAATCATTTCATTGTGCAGTTCATATTTACATGTACACACTCCTCCTCACTCTCCAAGTAAGGCATTTCTTCTCTTGGATCTTCCATATTATTGGGGCTGTACTGCTGTATATACAATGTACTATACAGGCTCTACAAGGCAGAATTCACGCATTAGCTTTGTCGTTATAGTAGGACTATGGTCAAACTTATAAATATACGACTCATAAGAGCTCTACCATTTGCTAAGCATAGCAGGATTTGTTTTTTGTAAGCGTTGCATTGATGCTTTGAAATGATCCTACATTCTGGCAGCTATTTTATTATTATACATTATTTATAAAGCGCCAATAGTTCGCTCAGCGCTGTAAGCTATAGGGCGGAAATCACTGCGATGCAGCTTCCTCGCTACACAAATGGCTGGATTGTCATCCTTTGCAACGTGCCCTTCCAGCCAGAACTATAGCCAAGGGGGCGTGTTAACATCACAATGGGTGTGGCTAGAACCATTGATGGTATGGCGTAATGAGTCCTAGCTCGTAAATCAATAGGTTACCTCATATGCCTCTGTCATTGTGAAACTGAACCATGGGAGATATAGTTCGGTATGGGAGATGCAGCAGCTAGTACAGCTCTGATGTGCTAGTTCTGCATAATGCCTACCATAACGGTAGAGATTCTGTAGCAGAAGTGCACCAGGTTAAAAAGGAACTACATCTATAGAGGCAAGAAGCATTTTTAGGCTTTGTTCTCAAGGGCGTATTCTAGCATACGATCATGCGAGGGCAATAATGGTGTGACCCTCCTGCGCTCCAAATGTGTGTTAAATACAAAAAATATATATAATAAAAATATATATAATAAAAGAACCCCAAACAGCTGCTAGCATTAAATCATATACCAGTGATCAAGTGAATGTAAACCATAAGAATGCTGCGCTAACATTCAAATTAATAAATAAAGTGAATGTGGAATTCAATATCTCAAAAGAAATATTAACAATGATAATAAGTATAATAGTGAATGTGCTTAGTGATAACACAAAAATTATAATAAAAACACAAAATTTAAATCGATACGCATGTGCAAAAGGATGCACATACATATATTACATCACACGTGCAAAAAATGTGAAGTGAAATATATCTAAATAATACACGCAAACTCAAAGTCCAATGAATATTAAAAGGTGAAAAATTCCAATAATGGAATATTAAAGGTGAAAAAAATATATAGTTTTTGGTTGACTGTGTTTCCAATAAACTGTAAAGTAACCACAGGTGAAACAAAACGTGCAGGTATCTGGGTGTAGATAGAGCTTGTGAATCCAACCACCTTCTGGATTAGCCTCTCACCTCATCACTTCGACCCTTGCGGGTCAAAGAGCAGTAATGGATCCCTCTCACAGATCCTCCAGGCACCAAAGCACTCCAAAAACACATTCCAATGTGGACTGGCTGCTACGTAAGTCTATTTTCATTACAAGATTTGATGTTCCTATAATAAACATACTACACTATGGGAGGATCCCTCTGTTTTGTTCTGGGAAAGTGATATTTCATCTATACTTGAAGAAGAGCTGAGTGGGAATATTATATCCTGAGAAGTGTTTTTGGAGTGCTTTGGTGCCTGGAGGATCTGTGAGAGGGATCCATTACTGCTCTTTGACCCGCAAGGGTCGAAGTGATGAGGTGAGAGAGGCTAATCCAGAAGGTGGTTGGATTCACAAGCTCTATCTACACCCAGATACCTGCACGTTTTGTTTCACCTGTGGTTACTTTACAGTTTATTGGAAACACAGTCAACCAAAAACTATATATTTTTTCACCTTTAATATTCCATTATTGGAATTTTTTCACCTTTAATATTCATTGGACTTTGAGTTTGCGTGTATTATTTAGATATATTTCACTTCACATTTTTTGCACGTGTGATGTAATATATGTATGTGCATCCTTTTGCACATGCGTATCGATTTAAATTTTGTGTTTTTATTATAATTTTTGTGTTATCACTAAGCACATTCACTATTATACTTATTATCATTGTTAATATTTCTTTTGAGATATTGAATTCCACATTCACTTTATTTATTAATTTGAATGTTAGCGCAGCATTCTTATGGTTTACGATCATGCGAGGGCGCTGTTTGCCCACATGGGGATGCACAGGGGGTTCCCTGCACTCCCACGTAGTCTATTCCAACAATTTCAATTGGGATGCAGCAGCTTCAAGGACATAGCCGCTGCTCCCAATTTGATAGCCATGCGGGTGTGCACATAATCTACATTCAGGGCCATACACCCTCACAGCTGTCAAATTAGGAGCAGCAGCTGAGTCTGAGTACCTTCCACGTCCCAATTGACATCGATGGGACCAGCTATATGGGGATGCACAGATCACCTGTACAAATCCCTTACACAGGCATACAGTATAGTACAGCCATGTGAATGTTGCCTTACGCTGAAAATGAGTTATGTATGGAACATTCATTGGGTCACCTGCCAGATACGCAAATAGACACATGTTGCCTTTAGTTGCACTTTAAGGGCTTGTTTACACCATGGCCGCTGAGTCTGACCCTTTCCAAAAAACGCACCGGGTTAAAAACCGCTGAGATGTGAACGTGTCCCATAGGAAATGTTAAATGGACTGTAGTGCGTTTCTGCAAAATGCAACACAAAATGCTTAGGCGTGAACCTAGACTTGGGGTTCCTTCATGCTGCTACAATCCTAAACAGCCTGCACAGATAAAGAACTGCACACAGAATTCATGCCAGTCTGGGAGGAAAAATGGCAAGCAGTTTAACAGATCATTGGAAAGATGCGATTTAATGCATAAAAATGGTCAAATACTAAGCCATACAAGCCAGGACAAAGTGAACGCACCTTATACCTCGAGAGAAAACCTTGCAGGAGAAAAATACGTAAGCAGCCACTACAGCCCACCTTTTGACAACTGTAGCTGCCTGGCCAACATGCTTGTCCTCTAGCTTCAAAGTGTTCAGTTAAACATTGAGCAAGCATGCAGCGAATTATGAACTCCTGACGGGCACACTTAATTCAGCTCATTAAGGCCATTATTGCTTACTTTGAGTCAGGCAACTATAGCACCTCTGAGTTCTAGGAAACTTCGTACTTGTTTTAGGTCAGACTACATACACAGGAAAGCTTTCCATCTACAGAAAATTGCAGTCCTGTATACTTTGGTATTTATTCTAGAAACAACCAGACGGGATGTGGATGGCCATTTACTGAGTCATAGCATTTCCTACTGCCTCATTTACAGTTGATGTAACTTTCAGCCTGCTGTTTGCTTACACATTAAACATGAGTTTAAAGATTACAACGCTGAGTAAGTTCACATTCTTAAACTGCATACCACATATGGAGAGAGTCAGTACCAACATATCTAGGACAGCCATAGTGAGACTCACCTGCACAGGGCTGGGATTGGCGTGCTGAGACTGCTGCTGGCTCTGAGTGGGGGTGCTGGCTGGCTGTGGGTGTAGCTGAGCTGCATGATGGGAGTAGGACTGGACTGTCGCTGTAAAAAAACAAGCAAAACCATTTGTTAGTCTGAGCCTCATTCAAAAGATTGGCACAAGGGACAATGCGCAGGAACCCCTAGATACCAAATGAAATTTACTTTGATGAGGTCATAGTAATACCATTTGGATTTTTCTTGGTAGTTACTGCATGGATTGTTACCGTAAACAAGACTTACCATACAGAGTTTGGGGGGTAGGCTGTTCTGTGGGTGGGTATTGAGGGTTGGAGGAAGATACTAAGGCAGAAGGGTGGTTTCCTGATGCCAGCATACGTGGATTACCCTGAAGCATTTGTGCGAACACAGGCTGAAAGCAAAAAAGAAGTATCCACAAGATAAATAAAGTACTGGAAACAACTCAAAATGAATACTATAAAACAGCAAATTCAGCATGGTATCACCAGAGATCAATTGTGAATAGCTATAACTTTCCCCATACATGCAAGATCTTAACCATTCTGGAAAAAAAAACAAAAAACAAAAAAACACAAATACAACAACTATCAGGTTCAGCTTCTCACAACTGTCCAAAAGCATTTTAGTTCCTGAACATACAAAACAAGACCCAAGTGGCAGATGTGGAGAATATTCACTCATGGAGGGCTATGGTGGTCATTAATAACTTTCTCCCCCCACAAGCAGGTACATCATAAAAAAGAAAAAAAAAAGCCACTCTTCCTCTGTATACCGACCTGTGATGCATAATGAGCCATGGGCTGCATCATTGCTGGCTGCCCTGGGAACTGTTGAGGGCTGTATGAAATATAAGAGGAGTATGGTGTTGCTGCCACCAGCGGAGGCCCAGCAGCTGCTGCGGCCTGCATGATGGGAGGTGCGGCGCTTTGCTGCTCGGCTCGTGGAGTTGGGCCTGCGATGCAGAGAGCGGTTCATTCAGATAATGTCATACAATTAGCATACTACCCCTATCTATTCACATACAAAAAAGGAAAAGGAAACCATATGCAGGGATTGATCTCTTACCTTTTGCTCTGTATTTGCCCTGCTGACCTGGCACAGAGTTGGACACAGGATACTGGTACATCTGAGGTGCCTGGGATAAAAAAAAAAAAAAAATCCATCATATGAAGAGGTTAGACTACCACTGCTAGGTGTAATAAAGCCAACAAGACTAGATTCCTCAAACTATATTGTCCCTACAAGATATACGCAATTTCTGGGGAATCAGCGGCTTTCATGATTGGGTAGTAATCAGCTCCAAGTCACATGATTTATTGCCCACAAAGTTAGTCCAGATGTTTAGATAGGAAGACCAGACAAAAAGAAAAAAAATTCATGCTCCTGGACTTGCATTGCATGCCAGCATCCTAAGAGAGCAGATGCAGGCAGGATGGAGTTCATCCACATGACCCGTAAGACTGAATCACACAGACTGGCCACACACTGATGTCAGCATTTTCATTTCAAATGTGCACACTGGAAGCCTCGCCTGAATCCTCAAACATGTCACCCTAGGAGAGAAGCTTCGCCATACACTATCAGGTGCTATGCGGGTCAACACAGACCACCAATATGGCTACTTTCTCCAATTGGACATGTCTGTCCACCCCGTCTGGGCCCTGACTCAGAACACACATGGCCTCATGGACAGGCAAGTGACTAGCAATTTTCAGGAGAAGTCAGCAAATACTTCCTTCATATTCCTTTAAAAAGGAGAACAGTCATGAAAGTGAGGTCAGAAGTCCTTATCTGTATACCAGTCAGTGGCTCAACATGCTGATGTAAAGGGTTAACCTGCCAACCAGACCACAGAAAGTCTAGTCATCAATGGAAGCCTTCACTGGTGTCAAGTGTTAGGAACAGAATTTTAGTGGTAAACCAGGAGTTAAGGGAAGTGCTTCCACTCCGCTATCTTCAGTTGTTACTTGGGACAAAAATCCACACCTGTACCAAATCTATTGTACACAACTGAGGGGGGACAGATGCTGGAAATCTCCCTCAAAGTGGTTCAGGAGTTGTGAAAAACAGGTACTGGTAAATTCAGCCTGCCCAATTTCTCACCTATGGGATATCAAGCTTGGGTTTACAGAATCTGTAGCCGTTGGAAAGGAAAAAAATATAAATAAATAAAAATAAAATACCTGCACAGCGGGACTCATATGAATCTGATGAATATATGGAAGATACGGACTGTACACCCCACTCTGCATCGGGATAGTGGCAGTGGACGAATGGTTCCTTGGTCCAGGAGACGTAGGTGTGCTTGTTACTTTATTCTGCAAAAAGCAAAAAGTAAAATAATAAAGTTTGGCTTTTCTGAATACCCAAGATATCATTCCTGGCTGAACATAGCCCTTTAAATTTGCATGAAAATAAGTATCACACATTTAAATAATCCCAACCCTGCTCAGAAACCAGTATAAGCAGAAGGACTACCCATCTCCTGTATCACTACTACTCACCACTGCTAGAAGTGACTTGGGATTGAACTCCTTTGCATTGGGATTCAAGGTAGATTTCTTTACTTGGCTAAGAAAAAAAATAACAATAAAATATAAACTCATAAATCAAAACCCAAAGCCATCTATGAGAACAGCAAAAAAAAGGTGTCAGCACATACTCGTACACTACTGGCTCCTCTTTCTCCTCTACTTCAGTTTTGCCTGCCGGACTACCAGCCTCCTCCTGGGGCTCACTTGTCTCGCACACTCTGTCCTCTTTGACCTCTTCCACTGGCTCCGGAACCTTCTGCCCCAAATCTTGTGGTTCTGTACTATCACTGGAAGACCCCTCTTGTTTTGGGATTTTTGTTTCCAAGGGCTCTTTTTGTCTTGATTGGAAAGATTCAAGGTTTGATTCGGGACAGGTGCTAGGCTGAAGCTAAAATACAATAAAGACATTGTGTTAGGATAATAAAACCATCCATTTCAGAGTTAAACACATGGAAATTGATCCCTCATAACAGACACAAAAGGAAACCAATTAGTTTAGCATCCACTCTCCAAAGATACACAAAGTATTAAAAAAATTAAAAAATAAAAACACACCAATCCGCTTCTAACAGCTTCGGCAATAAAACCTTCAAGCTGAAGCTGGTTTCTTGCAGAAGTGAGCCTGATTTTGCACTCCCCAACTTTAGTAAATAAACCCCACTCTGTCCTTAATGAACTAAAGTAATAATGATTTAGACTGACAAGCAACCAGAAAATTCTAGCTGTGCACATATTGAAAAGATTTTGTGTCTGATCGCTCACCCGAAATTCAGCTCCAAACTTCCGTAATTCATCGAGCTGATTTCTCTTCTGGTCCGTTTGCAGCACTGAAAAAAGTAAAAAAATAAAAAATTAGGGGAAAAAAAAAAAAAAAAAAAAAAAAAAAAAAAAAAGAAGGAGGAATCCTGCTAATATTTATACACTGGCAGAGGACTAAAAACAGACAAACCTTTAGGAGGTGGCTTGGCATCAGAAGGTGCACTCTGCTCTAATGTCCGGCTTGGCTCTTTTACAACAGAGACCTGAATATCTTTACCTATAGAAAAAAAGAATAAAAGCTTAAAAATTACATGACTGAATCTGTGTGTGTGTGTGTGGGGGGGGGGGGGGGGGGAGAAGAGAAGAAAAAAAATCCCCCCAAAAAATTTCTATCTTTAAGGTTGCAGTAGAGCAAAAAAATAAATACAAAAACTACAGGTTTCCTTACTCATACGTGAGCCTATTAAAACTGAATGCTCAAAAAAAAAAAAAAAAAAAAAAAAAAAAAAAAAAAGGAGAACTGACAATACTCAAGGTGGTACCCCCTCCAACATCACCAAAGGCTCCTCTCATAGGAGCCTGTAGTGAGGGAAATCTGGAACCTTCCATCGTTAACCCTCCTCAAAATGTAATTTACATGGTGGTCATGCAGACCCTCAGACTACTTTGATTCACTTAAAGACCTACTTCAACTTTTTTTTAGGATCATAAATCAGCAGACTTGAAATTTTCACGTTGTAAAAGCGGTCACACTGGGAGAGAAGTTTTGGTCAAGTTTTAAAATTCTGTGTTCATGTTAGAAAGGTTCAACTCTTTCTGTACTGAATTTTCTGGACCTCATTGGTACAGACAGCTAGCAATAAAAGCCTGACAAAGCTTTAAAACCTATAAACTACCAATTACTCTGCGCCGCCACCACCTAAGGGAAATGAGGAGATGCAGACTTTTTTGTAGTCCATACCAGGAGAGCAGCTATGGTTGCTGCCATAGATAAGCAGAGGAGTGATGTAGCCCTGTAGGGGATGGGGAGGGTGCCAGTGTCCGTTCGCCTTTACTTTTTTTCTGTAAAGGTGAACTAATCCTTTAACCATCACCTTCCACATCAAGCTTTAAAATCAGACATGTGACCCATAAAACAGGAACACACACTGGTTTCCAACTCGCTTTCTTTTCCTGCTCCTGGGTTAGCATCCTCCACTTGCCAGAGAATTTCTTTAAAGTGGAATTCCAGCTTGCCAGCAGTGGCAGCAGGGGAGCAGAGAGCACACTCCAACAATGGCTAGTAAAGCCTGGAGAGGCAACAGCACCCAAAGGCTTCAATTTCTCATCAGTTGTTGGCGCTCCCTCCTCTTCCCTACAGCAACACTGGCTACAGGGGTGCTGGATCACGTGACCAGACAGGACCTGCCTAAAAATTAGTATAAGTGTTAGGAGGGGACATCAAAAGGTTGGGGGAGGCTCTTAAGCCTGCATGTAAACCCTGCCTCCTGTCCTACCAGGAGATGCTTAAGAGCTGTAAATGGTTCAAGGCCATCTGTAAAAGTGCTGTGAAAAATAATCAGCACAAAAAATAAAAAAAAAAAACAAAATTTAACAGTTAGACCTCACCCAGCCACAATACAGCATGCATATAAAACATTTATTCATAATCTGCTCATTAAGACAGGGGCTCATCGAGAGAGTGAAAAAAGCAAAAAAAAAAAATATACAAAAACAGACAATGAAAACCATTCCACACCAAACCTGAGTAATGGAAAAAAATGGAATAAAATGCCTAATCTCGTCACTTTAAAGAGGACCATTCATGACTGGTTTTAAACAAGAATTTGTCTATTTGGTCATAAAAATTGTGCAGGTTTACTTTGGCAGTTTGATTCTTAAAATTGATGGGTCAGAGGCAAAATATGATGCAATGTCTTAGCTTACAGACCTCAAGCGGAATACCACGCTGTAGGAAGCCCACCGAGTGTGCCTTAGTCGCATCAAATGCCCAAGCACTTAAAGGAATTCAATAGCTACAAGGTTCTGTGTACTTGGATGGATCAATAGTTAATGGCGCCGATAGCTCGGCATCTTTCAGGGCTAAGGGTCAGTGCCAGTGAGGATTCAGTATTGCAGCTACCAGAGTAAGGAGAATATGTCCATCAGTGGGGCTGTTTTAGTGTTGGGGTGTAAGATTAGGTTTTGTTTGGTCAGTGTAAAGGGAAGGGATTTAGTGGGGAGAGGAGTTTATCTAAAACTTTAGAGTCGGGATTAGGGCAAATTTTTGTTAAGACATTAGTTACAGATTAAGTGTTAGGAAAAGCTGTGTGAGAGTGTTTGGGGTGATTCAGGGATAAAGAGTTAAGGCATTTAATTTTAAGGTGCAGGGTTGAAGTGGGGGGGGGGTATTTTTGTTAGGGTTACAATACAGGGGAACTGCAGGGTGCAGTTAGTTGTTCTTGTCACCAAGAACCCCACACCAAAAAGGAAGCAACTTTTAGATCTCAGGTGCCTCCCAGTCTCAAAGTAATTACAGCTGAAGATGAAAGCAAAATACAAATCATTCCGACAATAGAAAGCCTGAAAAAGTAAAAATTTAAATTTCGATAGGCCGTGTCATAACTGGTCCTCTGAGCCCTTGGTAGCACACTGTAGTCAACATGCTGCAAGTAACTGTATTGCTCAAGATGACAATCCTAAAGGAGCTAAAACATTCTGTGTTTAAGACAATTCTACCACTACTACAAACCCTAAATATTTAATTGGTGCTCAAATGTTAAAATATCAAGTTAGCTATACTCATGCAATTTTCTGTACCAATGTGTCAATTAAAAAAAGAAACCAGGGCGGCCATCACAAGTAATACAGAATTATCCACACTTGACAGTTCCATTATATGTGAGCTGTGCACATGACAGTTGGGTTACGCTATAAGTACTAAAAACAAACAAACGACTAAAAAGTTCCTTGCTTTGCGCATGCATATGACAACCTCTACCACCAAAAAAGTTCACAAAAACGGAGTGCAGCATTAGCTAGACTGATGGTTTGAGAGGCCCATGGGACGACTTCTCACCTTCCCCAATCATGGTGGGAGTGACAGCCTTTGGAGAACTGGGTTTGACAACACTGGTTTCTGCTGCTGGGCGAGAGTCCGGGGTAGAAGCTTGAGAAGAGGAGTCCAAAGAACTAGCAGAGGAGACTGATTTAGGAGACAAAGGTGTGTAAACACGGGAGGCAGCTGAGAGAGGAAAGAACGGTTCAGTCATGAAGTACTGTGAATAAACCATTTTTAAAAATCTGCTCATCGGCTGTTTAGCAAACTAACCTGAAGGGGAAGTGGACACTTCTATAGGACGGCTGGATGGAGAGGACATAGTCTTACTACCCCGCATTGGACGCTGCGCTTTTGGAGACATCCGTGAAGGCCCTGAAGGAACAAAAAACACACTGAGGCCAAATACAGGCAGAAGACAAATATAAAATAAGGAGGTATTTCAAAGAAAGTATTAGAAAAGGTGAACTTTTAAAAATGAAAGTGGTATGGATGACATGCAATTTTTTAATATAAACAAGGATTTCTGACATTTCCAAAGCCTAGAATCCCCAAGGGAACCAGAACATGGAGCAGATCTCTGGCAGCGTGCACTGTACATGAACGCCATCAATAACTACAGTAGGAGGTGGGGGAGGTGTCAGAGCAATGCATGTATGACAGAGTCAAAATACCTCCATTGATGCCTCTTTGATCAGACACAGGACTGGAACTGGCTTCGGGATAATGCTGAGGAGTACTACGAGAAGGTAGTGAGCCCATCCCTGATCTCCCTCCTCTAGAAGAGTTTGTACGGAGTCCTCCGCGTGATCCGTCCCTCACGCGCTGAGGCAAAGGAACGTACTTTGCATCCCTGAGAGAACAAAAAAGACAAGTAAAACACTATTATAGATTGACTTTTAAAATAAAATTGAGTTAAGAAATAAAAAACATTTGTCTTTAATGCTCTGCAAAACCAGTGTAATGGATAAACCCAGGTTTAAAAATTTCATTTTGAAGTTAAAGATGTTATACCAAAATAAATCAAACCAATTCTAGCTGCTCTTTTGAAAGTAAGAAAAGCCCAACACTATTGCATTCACATCACAACCTCCATGTTACAGGCCAAGCACCACTTTCTAACATAAGGACAAGCCACTCACCGGGATCCAAAGCTCGGGCTGTCCCGGTCAGATGTAGGACGCTGGACACCGCTGTGCTTCTCCTCTTCTGTCCTGCCATCATCGTTTTCTATGGCGATCCGCGCTCGGTATTGCGGGCTTGATTCAATCTCGCGGGCGAGCTGGGTAGCCCTGGCTTCCCGCTGCCTGAACTCCTCCGAGTTATCTTTTTCTAGAGGCACCCTGAAACAAAACAGAATGTTACCACACCTCATCTAACTTTAATACATTAGGAAAAACAGTCGTACGGATCACTCACGTGTACGAGGATAGGGTGCTGTCATAAGTGGTCTTCACTCCATAGTTGTCTTCATTAAATTTAAACATATCATTCGCGTCCCATCCATTAGACTGAAAATAAATAAAAATATAAATTAAATGGAAAAAAAACCCAGCTAAAAACGGTTACACACTGGAGGCAATATGTAATTTGCTCTCCTTGATGGACAATTTTCTTATCTGCCAAGTGTAAATGACCAATTAAGCATCAAAAAGACTGGAAAATATTGCATTGCCATAAAGCAGTAGCCCAGTGTTTGGAAGCTCTCTACTTGCTCAAGATACACTTGATTTTTGTAGTCATTGCCATCCCTGGGGTTTATTTACCAAAAACTTCAAAGTGGTGAAGATCTGCACTGAAATCAAATCAGTTTCCAATTTTTGCTAAAACGTAACCACTAGACCCCTGGAAGATCTAACACCCCTCCCCATTTCATTACTAGGCCATTTTTTGCTTTTTGGCACTGCGCTATTTTAACTGTCAGTTGACGGTTATGCAAGGCTGTACACAAATAAAAAAATTTATATCTTTTTTCACACAATAAAGCTTTCTTTTGGGTCTACAAAATACGGTATATGTAGTGGAATTTATTTTTTTTTATAGTAGTAATGGCGGCGATCAGCGACTTCTAGCAGGTTTGCGATAGTATGGTGAGCAATTTGACACCGACACTCTGGGAACCAGCGATACCAATACAGTGATCGGTGCTAAAAATATACATTGTCACTGTACTGACACTTGCGGGGAAGGGGTTAAACACCTAGGGCGATCAAAGGGTCAAATGCGTGCCTAACCAGTGTTTGTGTACTGCTTTCTCCAGGGGGTGTGCCAGTTTTTATTCCCCGATTTTGTACAGACACAAAAACCAGCACTTCCCCACTGACAGGGCAGAGGTTTTCATGGTGTACATTGACAGGGCTCTGCCCTGTCTTCCTCCTCACCAACCAGCGGGTGCCAGTGGTTAATTGCTGACCTGGCATTGCATGCCCTACTCGGAGAAAGCGGCAGGTCACATACTAGATACTTAATGCGGCACAGGAGAGTCGCTCTGCTGAACTCCTACAGGAGGCGGTCAGTAAGCAATTAATTGAACAAGATGAAGTTAAAAGCTGATTGGCTACCATGCACAGCTGCATCAGATTTTGCACACATTTTAGTAAATCTCCATATTCCATACTCACAATGTCTGACTCCAGGTCATAATCGTCACTATTCCCTTCTCCTCCATCCCATCGCATAAGAACCTTCTCCTTGTGTTCTCCGTTTACTTTGGAATTCGTGGCGATTGCTGAATCGGTAAATTTATCTGCACACGACAACAGAGATGCATGTCAAAGAGGGAAATGCTGGTAGAATCATGGATAACCAGATCACAAAAGCACACATTCTGAAAAAACCAAAAACACAGCATTGCCATTAGACTGCTTACCTTTTGTCGCATAATTGAAATCTACATTGTGGAAGTGCACAAGCACCACATCAGAGTTTTTGAATACCATGGTGTCCACAATTTCTTCACGCTTTGGCCCCACGGCTTGATCGCTTGTCTTCTTGTGTACAGCATCAACAGCCAGCTCAAACTGCAGGAAGAGGCAGAGTTACCTAAAGGCTTACTCCAACTCGTGTACTATACGCAGCAACACTGATCTCACGACATGCGCAATTGGTACTTCTTTGCAATCAAGCCTGCAGAACAATGCATTGCAGGTCTTGCATCTTGCAGTGTATTCCCTCAACCACAGGTTTGTAATGATGTATGGACCTATGGTTATGGGGCTGGAGATGGAGCGGCTGAAGTATAGCTTAAATAGGGATCGCCAGCATGCTCTGCATAGTGTCTCTGCTGCAGTGTCTGATGGGATTTGTAGTGCAGCGTGATTCTGGGGATGCAGCTGTGCTGCATTAAAATGAATTATACACTATTATGCAAACAATGGCACCCTGCAGTTAAAGTATATGTAAACCCTCACCTTGTAAAACAACCCAATTTAAAATGCAAAAAACACAAAACATCTGTATATAGATTTAAAAAAGGGGAAAAAAATTAATTAAAAAATTATATATATATATATATATATATATATATATATATATATATATATATATATATATATATTATTTTTTTTATAAAAAGTAAATCACATACACTCTGTTCAACTGCATAGAGGTGAGGGTGGAAAAAAAAAAAAAAAAAGCAGTATCTTGGTCTTCCTAGTGAATGGCAGCACAGGGAGGCAGTGCTGCGTTGTCAGCAGAGGTCTGACCATTGGAGTGCAAGCTCAGCCAGCAAACTGACCACACTGTGCTCTCCTGCTTGATGTAGTCGGTGTGTCTGTCAGTCCCTCTGCTTTCCTATTAAAAACTAAGGATTTCACACAAAAGGAAATCCAAAGAACAGGATATTTTTTCATAAAGTACACGATACAGCAGGCACATATGAGGAATATAAAATGTTGGGTTTACATAATATTTAAGGTAAGGAGGGGGTGTGTGTGTTTGGGTTTAGGACTCTTATGGGACTAGGCTTCATGTTACATCCTAAATATGGTCTGAAAAAGTGGACAACCTGTGAAGACAGCCATCTAAAAGTACATGCACACCATCACCTGGCACTACTTACCTTGGAGCTCAGGGTTTTGAAGATTCCTTGGTACGTGGTCCCATTTTTCACCTTAACATCACACGTGGAACCCTTTAAAAAACGCAAAGGTTTATCAATATAACTAAGCTGGTAGCCAATTGCACTATAAAAAAAACCTGTCCAACCCACCGAGAAAGCAGACCACTAAAACATTTTCTAAAATACTCAGATAAAAGCCATCTATTGGGGGGGCCACACACACTTCAATGATCCTTTTCAGTTATTGAGCGCTCTTAATTAGAAGTGATCCATAGTAGATAACCCATTTGATCCATATGCCAAATACGGGGAAATGGATTTGAATGATAGTTAGGATCCTATCAATCGCATTCCGATCACGTGTAATACGAATATATTTATGTACAAATCTCACTGCTGCCGATTGATGCAAAATTGACAATTTTCATACTTGGTCAAAATCAACTTCGGATTGACTGTATGGCTAAATGTTTAGATTCAAATCGTTCTGATTGAATTGCACATCAATTGGATAAAAAAAAAAAAAAAAAAAAAAAAAATTTTATATACATATCTCTCTCTCTCTCAATAACATTGACGTGTGTATGGCCACCATCGGGATTGAACTGCCAAAGTCCTGAATGTGGTTCTAAAGTTTGAAGGTTGTTGTTTTACCCCCCCCCCCCCCCCCCCCCCCTTCTCAATGAAGTACCATGGCACTAATGAAGCACCATGGTAGTTCATTCCTTCTTCCTGTCAGTATATCCGCTTGCTCGTACATCCCATGCAAGCAGATATACAGACAGATCTGCAGAGGACCTACATGGCACCAATCTACTGATTGCTGGTGCAATGGTTTACAGGCTCCTGCAGACAAAAATGCAAATTTTTTTACCTGCAAAAAAGTGCATTTAATATTTTTTCTAAAAAGGTGAAATTATCCTTTAATATGAAAGCAACAACTATTTTAGACATTTAAAAAAGGTCCCACAGAAGGACAGACAAGATGCCAGCCAAAAAATTCTGGCCATAGGCACTTCGGTGGTCTTGCCTAAACAACTTTCCCGTCATTACCAAGAGGGTGACTTTAGGACTAAGCCCCACTAACTGCCATTTCTGTCTGAATGGCGCTCTTATTGAATGATTATCTGAAGCCAAGCCTACCTTATGTCATGAGAGTTTGTGACATTTTCTTTATTCCTGCTGCTCTACTATCTCACACCCTAAGGCTAGGTTCACACTTCTGCAGCTCTGTGAGCGGAGTTTACTCGGCACTGGAAACCATTCATTTGAATGGGCTGCTGTGCCTGCGTTTCATGCAGAAAAAAAAAAAAAAGGTCCCTGCGCCATTTTTAAATCGCAGTGGCTGGCCAAAAGCACCATGCGATTTCCCAGCAATTCCCGCACCTGAAAGCGCACTGCATCTTTAGATGCGTGTGGGTGCCGTTAAGGTTGAATGGCAGCCTCGCACGTCTTTAAAGAGCAGCTCGTCTTGCTGCGGGTGGCTGCAGGAAAAGCTGTAGTTTCCACATCCACAATAGTATGAACCTAGACTTAGTAGGGAGATTTTATACATGCGGTGGCAGGGCAACACCATGCCGCTTTGTGAGAAGGCAGGCTGGGCCAGGTTTTGGAGAAAACGTGCACACCAATGATGCAGGTGTGGGCTGGCTTCATAGTCCAGACAGGATTAGAAGTCAGTGCCGCACCTTCCCGAGGGGGTCTGATTGTAAGGGAGTAAAGAGGTGCATGTCTGCGCCGTGTTGTCCAAGACAGGACAGCCGAAGGAGCAGAGCCTGTGTGGGAAGGAGCAGAGCCTGTGTGGGAAGGAGCAGAGCCTGTGTGGGAAGGAGCAGAGCCTGTGTGGGAAGGAGCAGAGCCTGTGTGGGAAGGAGCAGAGCCTGTGTGGGAAGGAGCAGAGCCTGTGTGGGAAGGAGCAGAGCCTGTGTGGGAAGGAGCAGAGCCTGTGTGGGAAGGAGCAGAGCCTGTGTGGGAAGGAGCAGAGCCTGTGTGGGAAGGAGCAGAGCCTGTGTGGGAAGGAGCAGAGCCTGTGTGGGAAGGAGCAGAGCCTGTGTGGGAAGGAGCAGAGCCTGTGTGGGAAGGAGCAGAGCCTGTGTGGGAAGGAGCAGAGCCTGTGTGGGAAGGAGCAGAGCCTGTGTGGGAAGGAGCAGAGCCTGTGTGGGAAGGAGCAGAGCCTGTGTGGGAAGGAGCAGAGCCTGTGTGGGAAGGAGCAGAGCCTGTGTGGGAAGGAGCAGAGCCTGTGTGGGAAGGAGCAGAGCCTGTGTGGGAAGGAGCAGAGCCTGTGTGGGAAGGAGCAGAGCCTGTGTGGGAAGGAGCAGAGCCTGTGTGGGAAGGAGCAGAGCCTGTGTGGGAAGGAGCAGAGCCTGTGTGGGAAGGAGCAGAGCCTGTGTGGGAAGGAGCAGAGCCTGTGTAGGAAGGAGCAGAGGGGAACTGCAAGAAAGTAAAGGGTGACGAAGGCCCAGCGTTGTGTGCACGAGCATGGGGGACTGTGAGCTTAGTGTGGAGGACCAAGGCATGAGGCTGAAGCAGTAGAGCTGCAAAGAGTCATGAGGCCGATAACAGTTTTGTTTGATGGTGGAAACCCTGCGTGGGAATGGGAGAACTTTTGCCTTCTTTTAAAAGTGGGCAGGAAAAGCCCTGAAACATACTTCTGGCATGGAGTAAACTCACTGTTTAGCACTCGAAACTGCAAAACCCCCAACTTGTCACAATGCCAAAGCATGAGGGCTACCGACCTTTCAATGAAATGACCTTCACCTTGACTAGCCAATTCTTTTATTGTTGCTCTCTTCAGCGACATCTGAAGTACTCAAAGTGACAAGTTCACCTTATGAAGGGTTGTATCCATCTATAGAATTTCCTTGTACTATAATTTGTAAGTATAAGCTATTAAAGCAGAGCTCCACCCAAAAGGGGAAGTTCCGCTTTTAAGGACTGCTCCCCCGCTCCTCCCCATTAAGGATTGACACCTTTGGCAGGTAACCACTCCCACTTCTGCTCCGATCTCCTAGGCCAGTGGTCGGCAAGCAGCGGCTCGCAAGCCACATGCGGCTCTTTACACGCTTTAATGCGGCTCTTGTGTGCCGGGCGCCCGCTCCCCTCCCTCCTCTCGGGCGGCAGGGACTCAAATGCAATGATTGGCCAGTCTCGCTGCCACTCACATCCTGATAGCCAGTGATTGGCTGTCAGGATGTGCGTAGGCGGGGCAGCGTGACAAACGTGAGAGGAGCTAGGCTCCTCTCACAGTCCGCCCTGAAGACCGGAACGGTGCGAAAACACGGCGAGAGGAACGCGCGGAGCAAAGGTAAGTGAATTGACACAATATGGGGAATGAATTACTATAGGGGGGGGCATGAATTACTATAGTGGGGGGGCATGAAATTACTATAGGGGGGGGGGCATGAATTACTATAGGGGGGGGGGGGGGCATGAATTACTATAGGGGGGGGGGGGCATGAATTACTATAGGGGGGGCATGAATTACTATAAAAACCTATTGAAACTAAAAAACAGTGTACCATCCTATGTATTTTCAGTTTTAAAAATGTGGCTCTCAAAATAAATTTCAATCGTGGTTTTGGCGAGATTTGGCTCAGTTGAAAAAAAAAAGGTTGCCCACCACTGGCCTAGGCGAACGGAAACAGAAGGTGTCCTCCTCCCCGTAGTCTTCTGGGACACGTGACAGGTCCCAGAAGACTACAGGACCATTCATGAAGTGCAGCACTTCTCACACATGTGCAGTGGGCACCCGGCTGTGAAGCCGCAAGCTGTCACAGCCGGATGCCACACTGAAAATGCCAGCCTCCAGGACGGCCGGTGAAACGGGCTGCAGGGGACACCATGGGACAGGTGAGTGGCTGTTTTTTTATAAGTCAGCAGCTACAGTTTTTGTATCGGCTGACTTATTTTTTGGCAGGTGAGTGGAACTCCGCTTTAAAGAGGAAGCTTCCTTCTTTTGTATTCCAACTTTCGCACGATTTCCCATCAATATATCATTGTGTTAGCTTTCCTATACAGGTGAACCTCAATGGTTCCACAGTAATCAGGAAGACCTGACAGCGAGAAACAGCAAGTGCAATAAACCCCCCCCCCCCCCCAAAAAAAAAAAAAAAAAACCCACACAAACTTTATTCCATATTCAAGTTTGAGTAATGTCACTGAGAGCAGCTGTAAGCCTGACTACTCACCACCACAGCAGTTAAAAAATGCAGCATTCGTGAATTATTATACACGCCTTCAAATACCTAAAATGACAGGAAGGTGAAATGAGGTCACTTTTGTGGCTCAACGGTCCATACTTCCACCATTAGCACAATGATAGGAAAAAAAAAAAAAAAAAAAAAAAAAAACACCACACTAAAAAGCGGTTTCCCTGCTAACCACCCTCCACCTATAAAAAGGGGAAAAAATACCCACACCCCAATAAAATACTTGCCTTAGTCTTGCATTTGGGAGGGAGTGTTGTCCCCATGTCTTACCCCTGCTTCACAGACACCTAGGCACTCAGGATCCTGTGAGAACACATCCCAGCTCATTGCACAACTGCATTCTCATGGGATTTTGAGTGGTGGTGTCACCCACATTTCCCCAGAAGTTGAGACTGAGGGAAGTAGTTCACATAATTTCTTGTGAAATGTAATTTCAACAGTTTTACTTCCAGCATATTTGTTTGGGCAGTGGGGAAGGCAGCAGGGAAATGGGTTTACCATTTGCATAGATTTCTATAGAGGGTCAAAACTGGAAACATGCATGACAGCTCAGGGAGCGATGGTGCTCTATCTGGATCAGTGTGCAGGGGACACGTCAGACCCCTACATTCTGTTGTGGCAGAGGTCCGACTCTGCGGGGGACACGTCAGATCCCTACATTCTGTTGTGGCAGAGGTCCGACTCTGCGGGGGGACACGTCAGATCCCTACATTCTGTTGTGGCAGAGGTCCGACTCTGCGGGGGACACGTCAGACCCCTACATTCTGTTGTGGCAGAGGTCCGACTCTGCGGGGGACACGTCAGACCCCTACATTCTGTTGTGGCAGAGGTCCGACTCTGCGGGGGACACGTCAGACCCCTACATTCTGTTGTGGCAGAGGTCCGACTCTGCGGGGGACACGTCAGACCCCTACATTCTGTTGTGGCAGAGGTCCGACTCTGCGGGGGACACGTCAGACCCCTACATTCTGTTGTGGCAGAGGTCTGACTCTCCAATGTGCTGCAACAGAGGCTGTTTCAACACAATGTTGCTGCAAAGTAAAGATGCCAACATTACGGTTATACAGGTTCTCTTTAACCCATTGACGCCGAGCGCACGCAAATATGCGGCCTCTCTGCATCTGGGCCTCGAAGCCACATATTTGTGTGCCATTAGAAAATACATGTGCTGAGAGCGCGCGCCCGCCCCCAGCACATATGTCCATGACTCACAGAAAAGGTCACGATCTCCCCTTTCGATCAGGACCTTTTCTTATCATGTGACGGTGATAGTGGTCACATGACCCAAAAACCCCTCCCAGCTTCTGAGAGTCTTAAAGGGCTGGCACGAAGTGGTTGTAAACCTTCACATACACCCAAGTGACTGCCCTCAGGTGATGCACAAAAATTAAAACAAATCCTCCTACATAAGTTGTACCTTTTTATTTACATCCATTTAAAGTGCTGAATTTATAAAGCTTGTCAGAGTTCAGAGAAAAAAAAAAAAAGGGGGGGGGGGGGGGGGCAGAGAGCTGAAACTATACTCTGCAGAGCTCAGAGAGGAGCACTCAGAGCAGATTAAAGGGAAGAGACACTTCCTCCACCCAGCACGCAGGGACAGGGCTGAGGCTGTCAAGCTGCTGGAAGTACCTCCCCTGTCACCATTTTTCCCCTCTGTGTCAGGAAACTTCTCAGAAGTGACTCATGCTGATAGAAGAGGAAGGAGACAGCAGGCAGAAATGACACTTAATGCTCTTAATTGAGACAAGTACACACTATAGAGGGATGTGCTTTGTTCATATTTCATGCCCGACGTTTACAGCCACTTTATGATTGCCCTAGAAAGAAGTCAGGACCGAAGAGGCTTTACAGTGATTGAAGAAACTGAAGTCAATACAGGGAGCAGGTGGTCACTTTAACACAGATGAAGGCACTTATTAGGCCGGGTTACTTTATATTGTCAATGTCAGTACCATATTCATGCACTTTGACTTACCGGAGGCTGAAGTCCTTTTACAATGCTCCTGCCCCTGTAAGAGAAAACACATCGTATGAATAACCAGACCTTCCGAGGATGAGCACAGCTCGGCATGACAAGCAAACCCTCTGCAATCAAGGAACTCACATCTGGGGAAAAAGCAACTTCAAACCTCTAGACTGAAGCAAACAATTCTTAACCTGATGAAGGCCACTTTCTGAATTACGAATAGCATAGTACTGTGCAATTTCAGTGATTTCAAAAATGTAATTAAAAGGATCGAAGCCAAAAAAAGGTATCTTGCAGCTCACCAGTCCTTAGATGTGCTCTTTTTCTGGTCTGTTTTCTTCTGATGATCCTGCCAGTAACATACTTCCTGTCCTAGGGTGACAACGCTAGCTTGTACTGTACCCAGAGAAGCAGCGTGGTCACCCGATGACAGGGCGACTATAAAACACCTTCCCCTCATTTTTAACATAGTGGGAAGGATTCTATAGTACACAAAGGTGAACTGGTAGGGCTAAAAGCACCGCTAGATGAGAACGTGTGTGTACGCAGAGTGCACAGGTAGACAGCTCACTATTTCAGGCAGGATCAACAGGTCATTTTTGCAATTTGACTAGACAAACACGCTCCATGGTTTATGCAACAAACTAAAAACAAGATAAGTTAAATTGTTAACATACATTTTTAATGTTTACATAGTTCCTTCTTTAAAAACTATTTCTCTCCCTCCTCCCCCAGGGGTTTGTGTGGGGGACAGAGGACATTAATTTTTGGGGGGATTGTAAAGGGGACAGAAGACACTTCCATTGGGGCGCAGAGGACATTATTCTGTATTGATATTGGGGATCTTTGATTTCCAGGTAGATGTCAAGATCAATATATAATTATCAGTCAAATATGACAGCAGACCTCTGGAAGGAAGATAAATTATCCTTTCTGGGGTATTCTCCCCCCCCTCCGTTTCTGACAAATCCCAGGAGTTACATGGTCTGTTGAAAATAAATCAAAAGGCAATATGTGGTGCAGCACAGTGGCTAAATGGTTAGCACTTCCACCTGGCAGTACTCGGGTCGTTGGTTCGAATCCCAACCACAGCACCACCAGCCTGGAGTCTGCATGTTCTCCCTGTGCCTGCGTGGGTTTCCTTTGGGTACTCTGGTTTCCTCCCACTCTCCAAAGACATGCTGGTAGGTAAATTGGCTCCTGTCTAGATTGTCCCTAGTATGTGTATGTATGAATGTGAGTTAGGGACCTTAGATTGTACACCCCTTGAGGGTTAGGGACCTTAGATTGTACACCCCTTGAGGGTTAGGGACCTTAGATTGTACACCCCTTGAGGGTTAGGGACTGATATGAATGTACAATATATATGTAAAGCACTAAATTGACGGCGCTATATAAGTACCTGAAATAAATAAATAAGGCTGCCTGAGCCTAGAATTAGTCATTTAACCACCTCCACCAAGGGGCAGAAGAGACTTACAGATACCAACATAAAGGATCCTATCCCTCTTGTATTGAACTGTATTGTCTCCCGTTATATTGTAAAGTGCTGAGCAAACTGTTGGCGCCATAAATCCTGTATAATAATAATAATAATAATAATGAATCAGATCAGGAAGAGAAGACAATCTGAAGGAAGTGACCTGGGAGCAGTATGCACTTTGCTCTACAAACAGCAGCTAGAAAGTCATGTATACAATGTACATCACCATCACAAGGACAAAAGTGACGCTACATTGTTTTAGTCATCTTCTATTCAAGCTACACGTCAAAATGCTTGCCAAGGCTTTTCCCCGGAGCTCACAACACCACACTAAATCATAGGTATCTCCTGCATTCCTTCCAGATTATCCACAGTCCCAGCATGCCTTCATCAGTACCTCCCAGCCCTTCTACTTTATCAATGCATTTGTCATACTCTGACAGCTACACACAACACATTACTTATATCACACACTTTAAAATGCTAATTTTGTTCCCCACAACCATCCTTAACTACGCACATAAACGGACAGGAGCAGTGCAGGGGCGGGTGGCCATTCATAAACAACCTCCGCATTCCCTGCCTGTGTACGCAGCATCACGATCCGGTGCCCGCTGTGTCCTCCGATCGCTGTACAGGACCTTTGTGTGAGTTGCCAATCAGTGATCACATGAATAGTAGTAAGCAAGAGGTTACTTCCTGACATCATTGCTTACTACGTGTGAAATCTGTGAATGATCGCAGCGATCACATGGTACAGGGCTATTCACACCAGCCTTGTACCATGTGACAAGCTGTGACCAATCACTGCTCACACAGTATCTCAGCGGCTGTAGGAATGCAGCCAGAGAGAAAGAGAAATGATTGCTTTTACAGCCTTTATGGGGTAAAAAAAAAAAAAAAAAAAAAAAAAAAAAAAAAATCACCACCTCCTTTTAAATATGTTACCAACATTTCATATTCCTGATAGATTTACTTTATGTTGTACTATGCAATTGTGTTAAAAAGTATTCCATTCTCTTTGTAACATACCCAGTGATCCTGCCAGTCCACTGCTTTCCTATTTGAAACTGACAACATCAGACATGGAAGGTCATCCATTCCAATGTGGTCAGTTTTCCAATTGTGATGGGAACACAGCCTGCTTGCCCTCCAAATGGTCAGACTTCTGCTAACACACCTTGCAGTCATTCATTGGGAAGAGTGTACTGCCATTTCTCTGCCTCCTCCCCACTCTATCCAAAGTGGTGTTCATTGAATGGTGCCTGTGCCAAGCACGTGACCTCACAATGCAGCAGGGCAGCACTCAGCATGCGACCCAGAAACTAGCACAGATCATTGTGATAGCAGTCTCAACCAGAGCAATGTCCTGCTTTCTGAAGGATCCCACAGGTATTATTATACAGGATTTATATGGCGCCAACAGTTTGCTCAGCGCTTTACAATATAACGGGAGACAATACAGCAACAATACAAGAGGGAAAGGAGGGCCCTGATTCTAGGAATGGCACTTACATAGTTCCATTGGTCCTGCTTGGATGAATGTAATTATGTAAGGATCACCATGCCTACAATTAGGCTTTGCCCTCAACCAAGCCATAGATTATGCAATTTGCTTTCCTGCAACTACAGGTGCTCAATTCCCCCATTGACAATGAATCATGCATTGGCTTCAGTACAACCAGCCTGCCCATAGATGGCTAGAATCTCGGTCAGTCCCTACTGAACAGGCTGAGAATCGATCCAACTATGGCTGGTGTGGAGAGGCAAGCCACTGCAAGGGTCATTTCTACCTGATGTGTGATTAAGGCATTCCAAGCTTTCAGTTATCCCCCCCCCCCCCCCCCCCCCAGTGCTTGCCATTATCAAGGTTGTTTGGGGAGTTGTCCTAATACAATCACAGGTGAATAATCTGAATGTCAATGGACAGGAAAATGGACTACAGGACTGGGAAAGATCAGGAATCCCACAATGGTGATAATCAAATCAAGTGGGACATTAACATTTCTATGTGAAGTCCATTTACAAATCCAGCAGGGCCACCACATTCCTACAAGATGCAAAACAAAATCCAATTATCTAATGCTAATACAAACAATGAATGAATGGAGGGCAACAAAACAGGTCCACTCTTCCTTCACACCTCACCCAACCTGAGAGGATTGTAAAAAGAACATTTTACAAGAGAACCAGGCAGAGTAAACACAGAGGAGGTCTACTAGGAGAGCAGGGGTAGACCTAGAGCTAGATAGAAATACGACACGGAGGTTGGTTGAGAGCAGGGTGGATTTGATTTAAATCACCAGTCAGTAAGGCTTGATATAAATCCTAGTTTTCTACATAAAGACTAATTCTTGCTGGTATAACTTTAATATACAAGTAGATGAAGATTTTTAGAACAACTTTTCATATTAGTTTTTTTATCCCCAGTTTAATAGGTTAATCATTCATATTTGGACAACTTTTCTGTTGTACTTAGGAAGGAGAAAAATAATCATTACCTTAATAACAACAATTTAAATAGATTTATTCATCTGAAACAATAACATTCCAGCAGATGTGATTAGCTTAAACATCCATGTTTGGTAAATAATTTGGCTAAACAAAATATATATATTTGAATAAACTTAGACTGTCAGCCCCTTCCTCCCCACACTGTCAGCCCCTTCCTCCCCACACTGTCAGCCCCTTCCTCCCCACACTGTCAGCCCCTTCCTCCCCACACTGTCAGCCCCTTCCTCCCCACACTGTCAGCCCCTTCCTCCCCACACTGTCAGCCCCTTCCTCCCCACACTGTCAGCCCCTTCCTCCCCACACTGTCAGCCCCTTCCTCCCCACACTGTCAGCCCCTTCCTCCCCACACTGTCAGCCCCTTCCTCCTCACACTGTCAGCCCCTTCCTCCTCACACTGTCAGCCCCTTCCTCCTCACACTGTCAGCCCCTTCCTCCTCACACTGTCAGCCCCTTCCTCCTCACACTGTCAGCCCCTTCCTCCTCACACTGTCAGCCCCTTCCTCCTCACACTGTCAGCCCCTTCCTCCTCACACTGTCAGCCCCTTCCTCCTCACACTGTCAGCCCCTTCCTCCTCACACTGTCAGCCCCTTCCTCCTCACACTGTCAGCCCCTTCCTCCTCACACTTAGTTTCACTTTCTTCTTGTGCAGATCTATTCCACTCCAAACAATCAGAAAAATATTGTTTCTATTCTATTCACTGAACTTCTTGAACCTTAGCAGTGAAGGGGTTGATTCTGTATTCATAGGTTTGTAGAAGTTAGGATGAAGGTCTTTTTCTTAACTCTGTTCATGTTATAACATTTTTGCTGTGAAGAAGAGGCATGTGATCTCCGCTGAGTCAAATTCAGTTTTGAGAACTGCAAAAGTAAACCGATCATCTGTGATAATATCTTGTAGGCAGAGAAACTGCCCAATAATCTTACAAAAACCTCTGGAAGAGCATGACATTGTGAATGGATTCATGGAATTTATTTACCAAAAAAATTAAACGTATAAAGCCTTATTCTACATAATTAAAAAACTAATCTTTATTTCATGATGGAA